TGTCAGCTTGAGGACTAAGGTGTGCCTGACCCAAGCCATGGTATTTTCAATAACCTCATATGCATGTGAAAGCTGGACAATGAATAAGGAAGACCGTGCTTTAGAAGAATTGGTGCTTTTGAGTTATGGTGGAGGAGAATTTGGAATATGCTGTGGGCTGCCAAAAGAACCAATAGATCCGTTTTGGAAGAAGTGTAGCCAGAGTGCTCCTTAGAGGCCAAGATGTCCAAACTTCATCTCTCATACCTTGGACATATTGTCAGGAGGGAGCAGTCGCTGGAGAAGGATATAAATTTGGTAAGGTGGAGGGTCAGAGAAAAAGAGGAAGATCCCAATGAGATGGATTGGCCAGGTGGCAGCATCGATGGACTCAAGCATGGCAACAATAGTGAGGCTGGCCCAGGATTGGGCAGTGTTTCATTCTGCTGTGCATAAGGCTGCTATGGGTCAGTACCAACTCGATGGCACTTAACAACAACAACAACGAGAAGCAACATGAGTATGAACAAGGCTCACTTTCTCTTTTCCCTAGGATTATAGACATAAAAGCAAAAGTTTAACTTTAATATCGTTGTTATTGTATGCCTTAGAGTCGGTCCTGACTCAGTGCAACCCCGTATAGGGTTTCAGAGAATAGCTGGTAGGTTTTAACTGCTGACCTAATGAGACTGTTGTTGTTAAATGCCATTGAGTAGATTCCAACTAATAGCGACCCCATATAGGGTTTCCTAAGCTTTCATTTAAAGATGAGGGAGCAAAGACCCTCATCTTTCTTCCGCGGAGCAGCTGGCAGGTTCAAAATAGGGACCTGGTGGTTTGCAGTCCGGTGCTTGTCGTAGGGTGTCACTGCACTCCCGAGGAGATTATATGTCTATTATAAGTAATTGTAATCTCTGTTCTTAAAATTTATACAGATAATGCGACACAGTTATTAGGTGTCATTGAGTTGGTTCCTACTCCTGACGATCCCAGGTACCAGAACGAAACCCGCCACGGTCCTGTTCCATCCTCACACTTGTTACTATCTGAGTCAATTCTTGGAATCATTGTGTCAAACCATGTTGTTGAGGGGCTTCCTCTTTTTTGCTGATAATATGGACTCGAAAATACAAAGAAAATAAACATAACCATGAAAATATGCAATTGTTATTTTGGTTTAGCTTGGTTTGGTTTTTATTTTGCTTCAAAGATTTTATTTTAAAAAATATGCCTGAGGAGCATTTTAATCAAGGACTCCCAATGTGAGTTTGTGAAAGCAACGGGGAAAACGACAAGGTTCAGCAAACAAAAGACCTTCTGAAAGGAGAAAAATACAGGAAGACTATTATAAGCATGCCTTTCTTTTAGATATAGAAAATATTTTTTCTCTTTCAATTTTTTTTTTTTTTTTACCAGAGGGAAGAATACATCAAGAGTCTAGATAGCCTACCCTTAGTCCTTCCTACACAAATCTTTACCCTCTCAATTCTTATGGTTTTGGTAAACAACTCTTCCATTCCTTGCTTCAAAATGTAAGGCCTCAAGTTTTGCAAATTATCTGTCTTCATGTTACCCTCTCTAATTCATTATCATATTTTTGTTCTAAACAATTCTTTGCCTTCAGATTACTCTGATAAATATAAATAAAATCAAAACCCTGTGCTGTGTCTTTAGCTGACTTTATTCGACCTGCCTTTGATTTCCCTTGGTTTTCATATACCAATTTGCTTCTCTTGAAAGAGGAATCTTTTGACAGGTGAGAAACATACAATACAGCCCAGTGGTATCTTATTTGGTTTACCAGTTTATATATATATATATATGTATAATTTGCCCATTGCTTTATATCACAGACGTGTTATACTTAAACTTATTTCTTCATACAGTCTGTCAAAAAGAATTTCTTTAATGGATTACTTGTTCAGTTTAAAAAATTTTTTATTTTATGCTTTGTCAGAATCATGAATAAGCTTTTTGAAATTAGAAGTATTTTGCACAGGCTGGAGAAAAACTAAAGCCATAGATATGCGGGTTGTTCAATACGATTGACAAATGTCAGTGAACTTAGACAGTGTGGTCAACCAGAATTCACAAATGGGCACTTAAGTGCTGAATTCTAATTGACTGGACAAAATTTTTTTTTTAATTCTCGCTTTTTTTTTTTTTTTAGGAAAGTCAGGAAAATAGAAATAAAGGTATGATTTATTTCTATATATGTTTCTATCATTTTTAACAATGTCACATTTTGTGGAGTAAGAATACACTTACAATGCTATCTTCCAAACTGGGACTGAGGTCAGGTAGAACCCAATGTGTCTATACTGGTAAGTTCCCCAAACCCCAATGATGCCAATAATCTAGTATAAATGATAATCATCAGCCCCTGAATTGTATTGTCAATATCTAGAAATGTGAATACATAGGCAAACTTATAATCTTTAATAAAAAGTAATGATATCGATACCAACAAAGGTCCCAGGAGCCAGTGAGACAGTCCATGGAACTGTGTGTGCTGGCCACATTGAATGCAGTGTTCTCCTGGAGGGATCTAAGTGGATTTGGTGCAGGGGAATCTGCACCAAATTTGGTACAGGATATGAGAGAAGCAAAAATGTACTTTAATTTACAGGGATTCTGCATATATTTTCTATATAGATTTAAACATTTAGTAATTATCATCCATTTGACCTAAAAAAAATAATTTCTAAAAGCATGAACCCTTATTTCACATAATCCACAAGATTATTGTGATGTGGAGTATCAGTTTATGTGTAAAACCCAAAGCTATAAAGCTTCTTACAGAAAACTTGCTACATTGCAAACTTGAGATAGCAAGAAGTTTCTTGGACGAAATAAGAAAGGCAAGAATAAAATTGATAATGCCTTCATCAAAATTTCTAACTTTTGCTTTTCATCAAACATCATTAAATAAAATAAAAAGTGCATTACAGACTGAATGAAAACATAAAAAATACATATATCAGATAAACATGCATATGATTCTATATCAAAATATAGAACGATTACTTATAATTCAATAAAAAAATCTAAAAAAAAAACACCAATATTAAAAAATAGATTGAAATGAGAATTCCAACTTGCTATATTACAAATTAGGATCTCTGAAAATGTACTCTCCCATAAGAGTAGTAAGGACTTAGGTAAAAATCAAAAGCAACTGTTTCAGAACTCTAGAAATTAACCAAACCAATAGACTCATCAGGATTTTTCCAAGAAAAATAGTTGCATTTTGGTAAGAACAGTGGTATTTGTTGCCTTTTAACTTGTTCTATTCCAATTCCTCACTTAGTGACTGTCTCGTTTTCTGACATTTCACATCCAACAATAGTAAGCGATCTGCTATCCAGATATTATGTGCATTAACCTGGGCTTCCTGCCTGTGTTCAGCTCCAAACCAGCAGTGCCTCCCTTGCCTAGCAGCCTCACAGCTGAAAGCCTCTTCAGAAGTCCCCTTACCAGTCCCATGCCTACTCTGGAACCACTGTTACAGCTCTTCCTGTAAAAGAGGCAACTGAGGTGGATTTTGTCGGAGTCATTTTGGGAAGGGCCTGCAAGTGTCCAGGAGGGCTCAGGAGGAGATGGAGCAGGGAAGCTGCTGATTCTACTCCCATCTATGCAAGGGCCCTGGAGGGAAGGATACCAAGGTAATTTGGAGCCTGAAGTCTACAGCCGAAACCAGCTGTCCTCTCCTCCTCCACAACCCAGGCTTCTGAGTTCCTTTTCTGAGGTCCTCACTTTTGGATTCCAAGTCCTCTAAGACAAACAGCACGCCTCTCATTTCCACAGGGTTCTCCCCAACCTTTGGGGTTCCGCAGGCATCTGGGGCTGGGTTGGAGGCAGCTGGAGGTAGCAAGGGCATGTGCAGTAGCCACCACTGACTGACTGCCTTGAACCCCAGCGCCAGAAGTTCCCTAAGTCCCGGAGCCTCCAACTGTGGCTCAAATCTAGCCACAGGACCGCAGGGCCGCACCAGCACCCCTTCAAATGGCAGCGAATGAGTGGGCTACAGACACAGCAGCCCTGAGGGCCCAGGCTCTAGAGTTGCCCCTGCATGCTGTCTTTGCATAAGGCCAACTTTGCATAACAACCTAGTCTTTGGAGCCTAACTATGTCCTAACATAAGGAATGGGTGTCATCTCACAATTATGGAAAATCAGCATATTTGCAGTCACAAGAATAGGTTAGAACATGTTTGGATCTCTTCCAAAGGCCCATCTTCAGAGAACTGTAACTCTGAGTTTTCTCACAGTTTCCAAGAAATACCCACTCACAAGACTTGTCTTTGACCGATTTCAAAACTCAGTCAGGGCAAATAGCCTTTTTCTCACTAGGGCATTTGTTGAAAAACTCCGTGGCAATTGCTTAATGGTAGTAGTCCCAGGTAGTGATAAAAGTTGAAGAAAACAAGTTTACAAAAGATTTTCAAGGAAAATCTGTAAAAGGAATGAGATGTTCACAGAAGGCTTTTAAAAACTCCAGTACAGTCTTGGGATTCTGTAACATCATGTGCATATGCAGGCCTGTCCTGTGCATATGATCAGGAAAGACTTTAAGAGAGCCCAGTCTCTCACCTCTGACTACCTCAAGGGTCTCCACGAGAAGGATGTAAAAGTTAAGGAAGACTTGTTAACTATCTGCCAGAGTATTGAAGACATACCCTCACACAAACACACAGAGACCCCTGGCAACAATGGCTACGAGATGGCTACAAGACTTATTGGTTCCAGGCATTTAAATAAATCCCAGAACAATCATTAACTGATTACAATAAGATAACTGAACAGAGACTTTAGTGACTACCTATAACCAAAAATAACAGACTTTACAGAACTCTCTCAGGAACATCACTCCAATTAAAATGACAACCACAGTACCACATGGCTTGTCAGATTGTAAAATAGTACAGCCACTTTGGGAAACAGATAGTCTCTTCCTCAAAATATTAAATGTGGAGTTATTAGTTTTGTTGTTGCTGTTAAATGCCATTGAATCAATCCCGCTACTGCAAATGCAGCGACCCTGCACAGGAGCAGCTGGTGGGTTTGAACTGCTGACCCTGTGATCCACAGTCCAATGCTGATCTAATAGTATCACACTGCGAGTTACTATGTTGTTGTTGTTAGGTGCCATCGAGTCAGTACCAACTCATAGCAACCCTATGCACAGCAGAATGAAACAATACCCAATCCTGGGCCAACCTCACTATTGTTGCCACGCTTGAGTCCATCGATGCTGCCACTTGGCCAATCCATCTCGTTGGGGTCTTCCTCTTTTTCTCTGACCCTCCACCTTACTAAACATGATATCCTTCTCCAGTGACTGGTCCTTTCTGACAGTATGTCCAAAGTACAAGAGACAAATTTTGGCCATCTTGGCCTCCAAGGAGCACTCTGGCTGCACTTCTTCCAACACAGATCTCTTGGTTCTTTTGGAAGCCCATGGCACTTTCAATATTCTCCTCCAACACCATAACTCAAAAGCACCAATTCTTCTGTGGTCTTCCTTATTCATTGTCCAGCTTTTGCATGCATATGAGGTGATTGAAAATACCATGGCTTGGCTCAGGCACACCTTAGTCTGCAAACTGACATCTTTGCTCTTCAGCACTTTAAAGAGGTCTTGTACATCAGATTTGTTTAATGCAATTCAACTTCTAGTCATATGCAAGAGAATTAACAGCATTGTGCATTCAACTCCTCCTATGATTTCTTTGACCTCTTTTGCTACCATTTCCCTTAATCCACTGTCTCCCATCTAATAGATCTTTTTACTTGGACACACCCATTTAGCTTATGCTCCAGTACATTAAGACATTCTTCTACAGACTTCTGCATGACTTACTTCCTTGCCTCTTGTAGGTTTTTTACTCAAGGGACTCCATCTCAGAGAATCCTGAGTTCCCTATTTATAATTGCAACCCTCTTTCCAAACAGTCCTTCCTGGTTTTATTTCTCTTCATAGTGCTGTCTACATCCAACATAACACATCGTTTCCTTGATTATTCTATTTGTTGCTGACTCTTCAACTTGAATGTAAAGCTCATGAAAGCTAAGTGCTCTAACCCAAGTACATAGAGCAAGGAATTATGGACACTCGATGAAAAGTTGATAAATGGATGTATGAAAATTTTACACCAAGGAGAGTCCTGGTGTGGCGCTGTAGGCTAAGCATTGAACTGTTAACCAAAACGTTGTCAGGTTAAACTCACCAGCCACTCTTCAGAAATCCTATACAGGGTCACTATGAGCCAGACCCAATGCGACAGCACTTCATAACAGCAACAATATACAGCATGGGATATCAATTAACAAGAACTGCATTCAAGGATGTCTTCAACTTAATGTTAGGTGAAAATATAGTTTCCAAAAACACATATAATATAAAACTTGAGGGCACTTAACAACAACAAACAACATAAACGGAGGTGATGACTTTCAGTGATTAGACCATTGATGGTGTTAAACACCATAAAGTTGGTTCCAACTCATAGCAACCATGTATTGAGTTTCCAAGAAGGGGCTGGTGAGTTTCAAGCACCCATCTTGTGGTTAACAGTCCAGTGATTATCCTGCAGGGTCACACAGGACTCCAGGCGTTGATAGTGGGAGAGGTTAACAATGGCAGTCATACTTGTCTACAACCACAGACATGCAACCATGCAAGCTTTGCTGACTCTTTCTCTTAGGATATGGAAGAAATCCTTCAGTTAAAACATGCACTTAACTTGAAACATGAATGACTTGATAATTTAAGGGGATTTTTTTCTAGATATAACTTTATTAAAGTATGATTATCCTTTTCCATTTGCCTCATTCTCAAATGTTGTTTGACTTGAAAATGACAAAAGAGACAACAAACTTTTTCTTTTTTCTTAAGTGTGCACTGTGTCATTGAGAATTACCCAACAGGAGGCACAACACAATGTGAAAACATATAGAATTTTGTGAGATGAATTCCAAAGCTACATAGAATACAATTATCAGGGAGGAATGAAATAGAAAGAGAGAAATATGGATCTGTAGCTGCTGTTCAGAGACTCAGAAATCAAATTATCACAATTTAAGTGAAACAAATACACCTTAATGAGTCATTTTAGAGCCTCCCCGCCACCCCCCCCCCCGAGATTTCAGTATATAAATATTTAAAAGCAGGTAACTTCAGTGTCTCTGCACCTTTTGTTTTTTTAATCCTAAAGTACTGGAAAAATATACTAGTTCTTTTCCTATCTAAAATATTGAAACATTATAGTATAACTCTTTAATATAATCTCATTTCTCTTTAGTTTTGATGACTGTTGAGGAACTGATAATACCTCTTTTAGAAGGAAAATTATTTGAGCACAGAGATGGTTCCTTTCCAATTTCTACACACAAAATAGCATTTAGTCCCACACCAAATATATTAAGATAACATTTTAATGAACTTGTCCTTATTGTTTATGTGGACCACCTGTCTTAAAATGCAACGAGGGGCTACAAAGGCAGAAGTGACTGGCTTACAAGCTTTCAAGAGGGAGCCTAGATCCAGAGGGTGTGGAGGAAGGTAGAATCTCCACTGAGTAGTATCCAACCTGTCTGGGCAGGGCTGATGAAATGAAAGGATATGGGGATAGGACTCTTGTGGTACAATACTGAGGTTGGAATGTAAAGGTAGATGTTTTGTAGCAAAAGTAGGGGAGTGGTTGACTTTGCAGTCCAGGAGCAGCGGTCCCTGGGACCATTAAGGGAGAAGAGCAGAGTGCGGGACCCTACTCAGAGAAACAGTGATGCCAGAGATGGAGGCAGAGACGATGACGTGGAGAGATGGAGCAGCTGGGGACTCTAGACTCCAGAGAGGGAGAGGAGCTGTGTGCTGATGACAAGGGGGCAGGCTTGCAGGGTATACCCTTTGGTTGGTTGATGATGTATGGAGGGGATTTTAATCATGGCAATGAAATGATATACGACAGAATGAATGTAAAACTAATGTTCTCCCATGTAAACTATCATATAATTCTGCCTGGGACCAGCCTCGGCAAATTATTAGGAGGGTCTCGATAGGAGGATGTGGAGTCCTTGAATGAAAAAATAAATAAATAAAATAAAATAAAACTCAAAGAGTCAATGGGTCATTTTGAGTCTCAGGCAGATGGTGGTAATGGCTCTCTCTGATGACTCTCTCTCTGACTGC